TTTTTTTTTTTCCCCCCTCGGCGTCTATTTTCAGAATCGGACGGCACCACAATGGCGACAACACGGACGAGAACGAGGGCGGCAGCGGCGGCGCGGTGCGACAGCGAGGACAAACGCGGCTACGTGTGCCCGGTGTGCGGCCGCGACTGCTTCAAGGCATCGGCGCTGCAGAAGCACCTGCGCATCCACTCGGGCGAGCGACCCTTCCAGTGCGCCACCTGCAAGAAGACCTTCACGCAGCAGGTGCACCTCAAGGAGCACCGGCGCATCCACACGGGCGAGAAGCCCTACGCCTGCACGCTCTGCACCAAGACTTTCACCTTCTCCAGCGCGCTGCGCCGCCATCAGCGGCTACACGGCGACGCGCGGCCCTTCGCCTGCCACATCTGCGCCAAGACCTTCAAGCAGGCCACCTCGCTCAAGAGCCACATGCTGGTGCACTCGGACGTGCGCCACCACTGCCCCGTATGCCACAAGGCCTTCAGCCGACCGCTAGAACTCAGCTACCACGTGGATGTGCACGACGCCAGCCGACCCTACTTCTGCCGCATCTGCCGCAAGAACTTCAGCGGGGCGCGGGCCTTCCGCAAGCACGTTAAAAGGCACCAGGCGCAGGAAGGGGCTGCCGCCGCCGCCGCTGCACAGGGCGCCACCGTCGCAGCTACAGCTGCTGAGGATACTGCCTCCACGGCAACCGCTGCAGAGGCTGACGATGTCACAACAGCAGCAGCCGCTGAGGACGGCGCCACCGCTGCACAGGACGCTACCGTTGAGGCGACAGGTGCTGAGGAGAGTGCCGCCACGGCAACCGCTGCAGAGACTGACGACGCCACAGCAGCAGCAGCCGCCGAGGACGGCGTCATCACCGGCGAGGAGACGAGCCAAAGTGATGAAAAGTGCGACTGACGCGCTGGGCGCCTCAAAAATGAACATTTCTTATCTTCAATAAAAATCATCAGTATAACAGCATGTTAGTTTCTGATTTTATTTATTTATTTGTGTAGGATGACAATGTGAAAACTGTTTATCAGTGTCATCTAACTCTTGAAACCCTAACCTTGG